TCCGCAGGCGCTTTCCGAGAGGAGAAGGAGGGGTGGAGGAGGGGGGATTTCAGAAGAGTTTCTCAAGTCGCTGCTTTGCCGCCCCCTCCCCTCCAGCCCGCTTTGCCCTCCCCTCGCAGGCTCCGCTCCTGGCCGCTTTCACTGGGGATTTCTTTTCTCTCCTCACCTGTCTCACAAGGTTTGACTGTAGGTACCGAAGCAGGGATCGACGGCCCATAAAGATGCTGAAGGGTGTTTGGTTGCTCAGTTTATTAACAGTGGCTGGGATCTCGCGGACAGAGAGTCGCAAACCTGCCAAAGACATTTGCAGCAAGAGCCGCTGCCCTTGTGAGGAGAAGGAGAACGTGCTGAACATTAATTGTGAAAACAAAGGATTTACAACTGTCAGCCTCCTCCTGCCACCACCATCCAAGATCTACCAGCTGTTTCTCAACGGGAACGCGCTGACCCGCCTGTTCCCCAATGAGTTCGTTAACTACTCTAATGCCGTGACCCTCCACTTGGGCAACAACGACATGCAGGAGATCCGCACAGGGGCCTTCAGTGGCCTCCGTACCCTCAAGAGGCTGCACCTCAATAACAACAAGCTGGAAGTGCTGAAGGAGGACACGTTCCTGGGCTTGGAAAGTCTGGAGTACCTGCAAGCCGATTACAATTACATCAGTGCCATTGAGGCAGGGGCCTTCAGCAAGCTAAACAAGCTCAAAGTGCTCATTCTCAATGACAACCTCCTGCTGTCCCTGCCCAGCAATGTCTTCCGCTTCGTGCTCCTCACTCACCTGGACTTGCGGGGGAACCGGCTGAAGATGATGCCTTTTGCTGGTGTGCTGGAGCACATTGGAGGCATCATGGAAATCCAGCTGGAGGAAAACCCTTGGAACTGCACCTGCGACTTGCTGCCACTCAAGGCCTGGCTAGACACCATCACCGTGTTCGTGGGTGAGATAGTTTGTGAAACTCCCTTCAGGCTTCATGGGAAAGATGTGACCCAGCTCACCAGGCAAGATCTCTGCCCTAGGAAAAGCTCCAGTGATTCAAACCAGAGAGAAAAACACCCTGTCCTTTCAGACCCACATGTCTCGAGGCTATCGCCCACAGCCAACTCTGCCATCAATCCCACTAGACCCCCAAAAGCCAGCCGGCCACCCAAAACTAGGAACCGCCCCACACCCCGTGTCACTGTGTCAAAAGACAGACAAATATTTGGACCTATCATGGTTTACCAGACAAAGTCTCCTGTGCCCATCACTTGCCCAGCTGGCTGCATCTGTACTTCGCAGAGCTCAGACAACGGCTTAAACGTGAACTGCCAAGAGAAAAAGATAAGTAACATCTCTGATCTCCACCCTAGGCCGACCAGTCCAAAGAAACTTTACCTTACCAGCAACTATCTGCAAGTCATTTATAGAACCGATCTCATAGAGTACGGCTCTCTGGATTTGTTACATCTAGGAAATAACAGAATTGCAGTGATCCAAGAAGGTGCCTTTACAAACCTCACAAGTTTACGCAGACTTTATCTTAATGGCAACTACCTTGAGATTCTGTACCCATCTATGTTTGACGGGCTGCACAGCCTGCAGTATCTCTACCTAGAGTACAATGTCATTAAGGAGATCCTGCCACGCACCTTTGATGCTCTGAGTAATCTTCATCTGTTATTTCTCAATAACAACCTGCTCAGATCCTTGCCTGACAACATCTTTGGCAGCACTGCCCTCACCAGACTCAATCTTAGAAACAACCATTTCTCCCACCTTCCTGTGAGAGGAGTCCTGGACCAGCTCTCAGCTCTGATTCAGATAGACCTCCAGGAGAACCCTTGGGACTGCACATGTGACATCTTGGGGCTGAGGAACTGGATAGAGCAAGTCACTAACCAGAACAACCAGCAGTCCAATCCCCCTGTAGTTATCAACGAAGTCATATGCGAGTCTCCCACCAAGCACTCTGGAGAGCATCTGAAATTCCTGAGCAAAGAAGCCATCTGCCCAGAGAACCCCAACTTGTCCGATTCTTCTCTCCTCCCTAGGAACACAGATACACCCCATCTCCTTGCTGTCTCACCCAGCTCCTACCCAGAAATACACACTGAAGTTCCACTGTCTGTCTTAATTTTAGGCTTGCTGGTTGTGTTTATTTTGTCAGTCTGTTTTGGGGCAGGCCTGTTTGTCTTTGTCCTTAAGCGCCGGAAGGGGGTGCAAAGCATGCCCAGCAGTGCAAACAACTTAGATATAAGTTCGTTTCAGCTCCAGTATGGGTCTTACAACACTGAGACCCATGATAAAACTGAAGGACATGTTTATAATTACATTCCCCCTCCTGTTGGACAGATGTGCCAAAACCCAATCTACATGCAAAAGGAAGGGGATCCAGTTGCCTATTACAGGAATCTCCATGAGTTCAGCTATAGCAATCTTGACCACAAAAAGGAAGACCCCACCAGTCTTGCATTTACAATCAGCGCAGCAGAATTACTGGAAAAGCAATCCTCGCCAAGGGAACCAGAGCTTCTGTATCAAAATATTGCAGAAAGGGTCAAGGAACTCCCCACCGGAGGATTAGTTCATTATAACTTTTGCACCTTACCCAAAAGGCAGTTTGCCCCCTCATATGAATCAAGACGCCAAACCCAGGACAGGATAAATAAAACTGTTTTATACGGAACTCCCAGGAAATATTTTGCAGAACAATCTAAACCTGAGCATCCTTTACTCCAAGGAAAGCTACAAACAGAACCAGACTACCTCGAAGTTCTGGAAAAACAAACTGCAATCAGTCAGCTGTGAGGGGGGAGGTGGGAGACAAAGGAAAATTTTTAAATGAGCTCAGCGTCACATTTGATTGAGTCTGAACTCAGTGCTGATGTCATCTGTCGCATTCCCAACATTTCCACTTTTTAAATTAGAGGGGGAGTGAGAGAGAAATGGAACCCTTACAGCATAGCAGGGATATGGTGTTGCTTTTGCAACGTTCCCTTTAAGTTATTTCTATATCTCTCTCCTTTTGACCCTTCTGTAGGAACTGTCACTGCAAATGTATGTTTCTGTAATAGATCTTGCATAATTCTTTTTGATTTGGAAGGAAATGAGGAAGGGGTTCTTTGGGTTTTCTGCTGGTTTTTTCTTTTCATTAAAAAGTGGAAACTTAATGTATTATGTAGAAGATCTCCAAAGATCTTTTTTCCTGGACTATGACTTTCTTTTGTAAATAATAATATACAGTACTGCTGTTTCAATTACCAAGTATAGCCACTGGGCGTCACTTTTTTGTGTTAAAGTGCCTTTGCACTTTAAGTACATTATTACTTAATTGTTGCTCTTAGCTTTGATAAATTGAACCTATTTTAATGTGTTGTATTTTTGAAATTAAAAAAAAATTGTAAAATAGACCTGTATGTCAGCTGCATTAAATCAGAAGTTTTGATTTATAGGAAAGCTGCCCTTCTTTAAATGAATCTAGTTCTAAGATCTTACAGACTCAAATGTAGATTATTGGGGAAATTTTTCCCTCTAGGTTTGTTTAGAGTGGTTCACTGAAATCAGCTGGGAGGATTTAGCAAAGGACTAGAGGTTATCAAATGCCTCAGCTGGGAGTAACAGCTCATTAATAAAAGATGATTAACACAATATCATAGTGAACTGAACAATTAATATCCTTCTTAATACATGCATTGCAGCTCTAACACAGTAATGTTCAGGGTTTAAGATTATTTTCATACATAAAAGAATGTTACTCATAATATTTTATGCATTTAATTAGAGGTTTTTATACATTTTGTGACAGTTTATATTTGTAACTTTTTTGGACTGAAATTAACATGTCCTTTTGCTGCAAGATACATATTTTTTTTTCTAAGCAGGGACACCAGCAGGGGTCATCCCACACCTCATTAAATTTATTAACATACAAGCAAATGAACCAATGCCAAAGGTAAAATTTGAACCTGGGTGTCTGGAGTCCTCCAAATCAAGGCAACAGAAATCAGTATGTGCATCACACTAACTTCCAGTAGTCTGAACTCTATAAAGTTTTCATTCTGTAAAGCAAAAGCAATATTGCAATAATTCTGAAGTACTGTTAAGCTCGTTATCTTACATTTTATGAAATGTTTAAAGTTAACTGAATTCCATTCTCAACATTGGTTTTCTTAAGCCCATCAGTGAGCAAATGGAATAAGTCTTTTCCTTTCGCATTAACAGGCCTGTTTTACTTCAGGCTTTACGGTATCACCTTCAATTTACATTTCCTTCCTGGAGAATACTTTTATTAACAAGTATACAGTCAAACTTTATTAAGCCTTATTAGCTTCTAAATAATTTTTAGATGCAAACATTATTGTGCGATTTAAACAAACAGCCCTTATTTACAACAAAAACAGTTTTGTTTTGTCTATTGTAAATCCTTATGCAACTGGGATGGTGATCTGCATATAAAGTAGGCCAGGCTTTTCAATTCCTTATTAAAGCAATTGATGGAGTCTGAAAGAAGCACACTGTTTCCTTTTCATAAATAGGTTACTGCACATAATAATCCTTTATTATCATGCAGAGATTGAAGTGGCCTCTGCTGACTGATTTTTAGAGCTCTACTATAGTTAATAATACAGAATCTACAACTCAGAAATTTTCAGCAGTAGTATTTGAGCTATAAATAACTACAATCAATGTTGTTCTAATCAGACCGTTGCCAAAAGGAAGTTGCTTTATATTTAAGAGCTAAAGAGGCTTTGCATGTATATTGCCAGATATCTGAGTCATTCACTAAACTGTCTTCTAATGATTTATGTGACATCTGAGCACATTAATATGCTAACATGTCAATTCTTTATGTTTAGAGTCTATAGCATCTATGGCTGTTCATTAGATCAGGTTTAAAACTGAAGTGCTACAATGAACTACTGAAGAATCAGTCTTCAAAATGGTCTCACTTCAAGACGGAGGCGAAATGGCATCACATTAGTTGAACTTGGAACATTTGCCTGGAATAGCATCCATCTTTGAGTGAGGTACTTGTTTGAAAGCTTCCAGTAGTGATTGTCTTATTATAGCTCCTTTGCCTGGGTAATTAAAAGCATTTATTTCTGAAACCCTAAGAAAAGTACTAGTATTGTTTTAAAGTTATTAACTCTTTCCAGGTATTATTTTAGCATTGCCTGCAAAACAAGTACCACGTTATATCTGGCACTCTAGCAGCTAGGTATTATTATTTATTATTCTCTAGTGAACCAGAAGCAATTACAGTTGTTTTTTTTTCTTGGAAAAATGCTATTTTTTCCTACAAAAGGGTTTTCAATTTTCTAGTGTTTGCAAACAACAGAGACAGGGAATTGATTCTTTTAGTAACTTCTACTTGTTTATTTTTACTGTTTCAAGTCTCGGACTGTCTTCACATGTTTGCTTCGATAGCACAGCCATATTTTACAGAGGTTGCTGTACTTTACATTTCCTTAGCTTTGCTAGTGGAATTTATTTAGTGAGTAGATTTTATTTTGCATCACCAGTAGCAACTCAAAAATCATTATTGCTGTAGATCTTTTAGGTTTGTTTTTATACCCTTCAGCTGACATCTATTAAGCAATTCTTTTCATAGTGTGTCTAGGTGAGAGAGAAGGGAATTTTTTTCAGTTACACTTAAAGAGATTTGTTTAACAGGGAAAGTGTGTCGGCAGCTGCTGTGTAGAAGGTTTCTACATTTCTTTAGCTGTGCAGCCCTGGAAGCTGCTGCTTGTTAGGGGAGAGCTGCTTGCCTGAGTAATGGCTTGATAATGAGTCTGAAAAAAATCTTCCTTCATAGTTTGAAAATTTGAACTGTGAAAATTACATAACCAGGTTAGCAAAGTATTTTTTTTTTCCTCAGGAAAATGAGAGATGCAAATAGTTTTCTTTCTTCCTAAGTTTTCTTTTGTGAAAGTGGACATAATGACCTTTACAGAAACAGTTAATGGTGCAGACTGAAGCACTGTTGAAACTATGCAGTTATCTCCAGTGAAAATGAGAGGCAGCGTGCTTTTGAAGAGATTGAATTTTGAAGAGATCTTTCTGTGTAAGCATGAGGTAAAGTTTAGCAACAACCTTAGAAACTGGATTTCAATAAGTTATCAATGGCAAAATGGAAAGAGATGCTAACCTTGCACTACTGTGCCCAGGTTGCCCCATGGTTCTTAGGCAGACATCTGTCTCCTGGGACAATGCTGTAGCTTTGCTAGCAACAGAACACATCCAGAGGATGACAGGTTAATTGCCTTCTCTTTTTCTCCCCACAAAACAAGTGCTGCTTTTTGAAAAAGGCTCCATACTTTCTATCTGGGTTCTCAACTCTGCTGCAGAACCACTCTAAATGCCGTTGGTAGTCCTCCTTTCTGCAGTCTCTCTTTTCTTCAGATTTCATCCTTTCAGGTTCCAGCATTTTCTAAGTTCCTACCTTATCTGCTTCCCAAGCTCTCACCATGTCATACTCCAACCCTTGCCCTCACATCTGTCCTCCTGGGCTTTCCTTGTCTTCCCTAGCTAGCTCTGGAGGACCTCTTTCAGCCTGGAAGGGAATGGCTGTCCTGGCTCCACCGAGAGCTCAGCCCTTACCTCCTCCCTTGACATTGCTGAGTAGCCCCATGTGAAATCAGAGACCTGATCTCAGTGGTATTCCAGGGGCCCATGCTGGAGGAAGGTCTGTGTGGCTGTTCCCTCTTCCACTCATTGAGCAGAGGAGAGAAGTGTAAGATCAAATACCATTCCAGTTTCCACACAGGATTTCCCGTGTGCCAACCCTGGCTATGCAAGTGGCATTTCTGAGTAAGAACAAATGGATGAGCTATCTGAAATCTACTGGCATCACATCACACTTTGCTGTAATTTCAGCGAGTTGCTTTCAGCATGGGTTAATGTTGCCAAATTAGCTAACAAAATCTAAGACTCAAACTGGGTGTGTAGGTTCTCTAGGGTAAACAGCAAAAACCAGGTCACTTAAAGGTGATTTATTCCCTCCCAAAATCTATGGCATGAACTGAGCTGCAGAAATGCCTGCTTTTTTCCCAGGAACTGTAGAGAAGATAGGTGATGAGCACTGACTGGATAGCTAATGCCCACACAGCTGCAGTCAGCTCAGCCTGAGCACTTTCTAGCACAACCACGTGCAAGATGTATGCTCTTCTGAGTATCTGCCAGTCTCTACCCCAAGATATTTCCATTCTGTCCATAAGAGAAATATTCCTTATGGAGTTTATAACCTGCTTCAGTTAAAGGCACTGGCTTTTTATAACACCTTCTTGTGCTGATAGACAACTATACACCAGGGTTGGGTTTGGTTTTCTTTTTCTTCCCATCAACACTGGAGTTTGTAAAATAAAAATAAAACTTTTTAAAGTTAGAAGCTGTAATTAGTAGTGTCAAAATAAGGATACATACAAGTTAAATTGCCTAAATAAAAGTCTTTAAGAATACTGATCTTGTATGGGAATACAAATGCCATAATTTTAAACTGCTCATGAGTGAAATGAGATACTGGAAATGTTAATGAAACTTCTTGGGCTCTTACAGGCTAATCACTGATACAGTTTGTGATTTTTCATATTACTGTTTTTGTAGACAGTAAATGTCATTTAACAGAGAGAAGAAAAAAACCGCCGCGTTTCCCAAGTCCCTCCCCCAACTGTACAGCTCTAAACCAAGAGATAAATTAACTTATGCAGATGATGTGACATTTCTTGTATTTTTCCCTTCACTTTTTCAAAGTGTTTTGTAGGAGAAGTACAAAAGTTATTCTTTTGTAAGAGGATCATTAAGTCTGTTTGGATTATTGATCTCATAGCTTTTCTGGGCACAAGGCCAATCATTTTGACTAAGGTTTTTAATCCTAGCTAATGAGGGAGGTGGATTAATGAGAAGTTTTTTGTTGTTTTTTTTTGTTATTAAGGGTTGGTTGGATTTTTTGAACCAGTAGATTGACATGTTTGTGAATACAGACGAATAGATCGTTTTGGATGAAAGAAATGTTGGAGCTGCAAGCAGAGATGCAGTCATTCTAAAGACCAAATAGACTCAAGAGTGTGAGTGAAGTTTGAAAAACAAGACATCATAAAACCATCCTTCTTCCTGAGATCATAAACACAGAGGCCCCCCACCTGAGTACAGCAGCAGCTTTTGTTACATTCTGTTAAACATTTGGAGGGACGAAATTAGAGGCCAGATGCACCTCCCTTGTCTTTAAGGATGTTCAGGTAACTGAGGTGTTCAGAATTTGGTTCTCATCTCTGATTGTTACCCTATTTGTGCATGCATCTAAATTGTCACTGGTAAAGCACTGTGCCTGAAAAAGGTGAAGTTTGGAAGAGCAGAGCTAGCGGTAGTATTCCTAAATCTTTTTTATCTCTATTTTTAAAAATACAAGGAATTTACC